TTTTTGTATACGATTTCCTTCCAGAGACTCATCTAATTAAAACCCCCAACCAGTCTTTAGAAACATTAAAGAAATAATGTTCATTTCCTCTAAAATGAAGTACAATTTTAGTCACGCTCAGTGGTCACACTTCGTCTCGAGATGAGCAGAGACATGACCTTTATACGGAAGATTGAAAACAGGTTAATTGGAGGAAGCCTCTGTCACAGCACTTACAAGCGGTGCTGAACACTTCTCATAGCTCTTACAGATAACCGAATAGCTGGTGAAAACATGAAATCATAAGCACTTAATGTAATTCCTGTCTTAAAATGAGCAACTCTCCTCCTTATAGCAACAACGTCAAAGTCTGGTGTCGGGTAGAGATCAGCAAAGGAAAGAAGTTTTAATTTTTGCAATACAATCTCTGGTTACACTTAATTAATGAAGAGGAAAATTGTTCACGCATATACAAAAAAGACACAATAAGAACACCTGCAAAGTATAATGCAATTTAATTAGCTCTGTTTTTAATTGTTAAGCTTATAATAATTCATTTGGACTGCGGCTGTTAATTAGATTCAGGTTTTACTCGGTTCACGTCTTGTAGTATTTTCAGCAGGTGATATATCCTTCTGATGGGTTTGCTGACCTGTTTGTTGTAACACTCCCCCACAGAGAACTCGCGTTTTCCAAAATATGTCAATTAAATATAATCCTGCATAATTAACCTCACAACAACTACAACTAGTGCAAAGTTAACTGAATATCACGTTGGAGGAAAATGCGCCTGTTCGCTTGCGTGCTGCGAGTTTAATGAGAAGAAGTGTCACTAGCATTGATGGACCCATAGAGAATAATCACCCAGCTCCGCAGTTCCCTTATGATCTGTGGTGCTGCTTGACATCTTGTAGCATTGTTATTGTTTTTTTTGGTTTGGTTATATTAGCTTGGCTTAGAGACTAGAAATGAGGAAATGCCTGGCTCTGGTAAAAGGTAACAAAGTACTTCTGAAGTTAGCTAATTATCACGTTGTTTGTCATATGTTTAATTTGTATAAAAGTGAAAAGTGTGAAAAAGGCAAGCTGTGTTTTTCTAGCGGCTGTATGTAGAGTTGAGATGACAAGTCAGTAAAATATAAGGAAACAATGAAATAATGGAAACTGTTCTGATGATGGATTAATTTTTCAATTTCAAACTGAACAGGTTTGGGTTCAAATAAAACATCACCTTGGACTCTGTGAAGTTGTGACACATTTTTCCCAAAATCTTCCACAGACTAATGGATTGGTTATAAAATAACAGGCATATCAATAATAACAAAAAAAACATAGTAGCATACAGCAGTGTCAGTCTTCTGATACAACTTTCTGCAAAAAAGTGAATGAGTTTCTCAAAATTTTGGTGTTTGTTTAAATAGATGTAGAAAAAAATAGTGACCCGTTTGTATCTGAACAGTCAAGCCCTTGTTTATCACTGCACTAAATGGCTGTACAGTCTTTCTCTTCCTTTTACTAAATGGTTCGCTGTGATTTACTATCTTGTGAGAGAAAATGTGTTTCAGATTGTTTACCTACTCCTGAATTGTACGCTGCATTGTAAACATGCATTAACTTGCTGAGCTTGCAAGCTGGCAAGACCTTAAGCTGCCTAAATTTTCTCTTCACTTTTAAAACAGTTCTCTTAGTGTAGATGCTGGAAAAATGGTGTCTGATGTTGCACTGTTTAACAGGCTCCTACAGATCACTCCTTCTGCTTTCTTCTGTGTTAGTGAGACTGTTTTAGATGTCCGTTCTCTGTTATATGTCCAGCATTCACTGTTGACTTTCCTCTTTTTTTCACAGTGCAAATGTCTTTGCAGCAGATGGGATATCGACAGTATTGAGCAATGGTGACATTGTTATAGCCTGGCTGTGGGTCTGATAATCAGAACATTACTGTACTGTCTGTTGGAATTGGTTAACAGGCTAGGAGACATTTCAGGTAAATGAATTAAGCAACAAAAGCCCATAATTTACAGATTAAAATGTTTGACAGCTGGGTCTGGCCCACAGCCTGATATCCCAGTTTGACTACATCTGCTTGATAGATGAATGACCAACATACTTCTCTGAGGGTTTGAGGGTAAGAGGTTGCAAATTTGGGCCTTACCCTCCAGAAATGTGGTGCCATGATACCTCTCCACCTCCACGTTGTGCATGGCTGGGCATAAAAAAGGTCTGCTAAAGGCCTGGTTTGTCCTCCCACTTGAGCGTTGTTGTATGGAACCATTTTTACCACTTTTTGTTCTTAGTCACTTGACTTTGTAGCAGTACAGCCTGAGAAAATCTAAGGGACAGAGGATGGGAGATGAAGGAAAGGTGCAGGTAGGGTGAGGTTTGCACTGATGGTCTGCCACTGAGTGACTGGTAAGGTTTTCCCTCCTCTCTGCCTCCTGGGGTCAAGGGAAAACATCCTCCTGATGACATGAATCATGGATGAGTGTGCATCAATGTGTGTGTGATAGCGTTGCATGCATGCATGCACAGAGTGTATTTCTGGAAAACCTGTCTTTTAAATCTGTGTTTGTAAGTGTGATGGTGTGTGCTGCCTGCATTCCAAAAGCCACGTGCACACACTCCGATGGATATCTCCTATATGGCTCGGTAGCCCTGCTCGGCTCTCCTCCCACTAGCCCCCCCATCGTCTTTCCCATAGTCTTTTACTCTCTGCTTCATCAATCACTTAAGCTCTCCCACTGCTCACAGCAAAGCTGGACCAATTACGCCCTCTAATTGAGCCAATTAGCAATTAAACACTCAGATGCACCCCGACATTCTGGAGGTCCCTTCAGGCACACACACACTTGCCAGGGCCTTGGATTTTTACCAGCGATCCTTGCTTGTTTGGGCATCTGCTGCCCTCTGCACCTGCCCAGGCTTGAGGTGCGAGGGGAGTCCATTTGACCCCCTCCCAGAGCCTGTGCACGTGGGTCCATTACACTCACCTCTCTGAGAGAGGCCAGTGTCAGTGAAGCAGCACTTCATGTTGCTTTTACTCAAGGACTCTGAAGGGTCTCTGCCGACCAGAGAGAAGCTTTTCATTAACACCAGGGCCAGTTTTCTTTCCATATACATTCTCACGTTTCATCTCTCATTTGTCTTTCACTCCTTTTTTCCCCACTGCCTCTTCATCTCTGCTTTTTCTCTCTCCCAGTGCGTTTTGGATGATGAAAGTTTAATGGTAAATGTTGTGGTGTGTGTGGGTGTGAGTGGGTGGAGGGCTTGTCCCTGTGCGCACTGCTAAGCAGGCTGGTCTCTAGACTCTCCATGGTCTAATTGGAGCACACATCGTGCCGCCTGATTCTCTGTTAAAGGATACACAACCAGACACGCACATTGGCGCGTGGGCAGAACAACAAGTCCATACCGAGAGGAATAAAGGCTGGCGCCAGTATACTTAGGCTGAACGCGATGTACCAAAACAAGACAATGAGCGGTTGCAGATGCTACAGACTCGCTCACAGCTACCACTGTCTGAAAGAACACAAATGTGTTTTCACCAGACTTCTCCCCACAAGCTATAGTATATCCCCTGTCAAAAAGCTTGTACAGAAGAAACTTTTTTTTTTTTACTTCAATGAGTCTCCTTATTTGTATGTCTTACATGAGTGTGAGCAAGACTTGTCGCCCCCTCATCACCCTATAGACTTTAATTATCTGCCTCAAGACACTTAAATCACATACTTTCACATTCAAGGGGCTTTATTGGCAGTGGAAGAAAACAACAAAAACAAGGGCGCTTCGCTGGGTGCAGGCAGTGCAATAATTCAGTTAATGATTTCTAAAAACAGGACAATTATAGCACAGTGATAAAGCAAGAGAGCATGAAAGAGAGGAAGAGGTAATGGTGAATTTAAAAATCAGTTAAGACTGAAATAGTGTGAGAACTTAAGAGATTTGTCTTTTTCCTTTTCAGTCTTCATTACAGCTGGGGTTTGTGTCCTGTACCATGACATAACACCACCCAACGATGCTATGATGCTCTAATCTCCTCCATGCCTCATGCATTCCTGACTCTGTTTGTTACATGAGGGTTTACACATTTGTGCAGTAGATTACATGAATGAGTGTACAGTGTACGGGCTATCATTCATGTGTAAGTCTTACTGTGTGAATGTGTGTGTCTTTGTGCTCTGCATGTAGCTGGAAAGGCTGTTGTAAGCTGCTTACAGCCGCATTTTACTGACCTTTGACTTTACTGGGCAGTGAAAGGCTCACCCGAGTGTCTAGCCTCAACGACTCCTCCACACTGTCCACTGTACTGTTATCTCCAGAACCAGCATTGAAGCCTTTTTAGAAATGAGTGACCATACATTTAAGGAGCAATCAGTAGCAGTGTTGTTGGATGAACACTTGTGAAGTGGTGTGACTACATTAGCTCTCTAGGGAGGGGTGTGTGTATAAATTGACAGGTTCAACACTGTTCACCAGGAGGAGGATTAGGTGCATGTCCTTGCACAGTCCAGTTTAGGGTTTTCATGTGTGTTACACAGGGAGAGTCATGTAGAAATGTGCACACAACCTGTAGTTTACATGAGAGTTCCATGAGTCGGGTCATGTTAGAAAAACCAGAGGAAGTAAAATGTAATCAGAATGTTTGCATTTGTGTGAGTTGTTTTTCTACATGCAGCAGAACTGCATTTGTCAGCCTGAGATTTAATGAAGGGAAGGGAAACACGATGATCACCACATGAAATATCACCAAAATGAAACCTATTGACTTGATCTCAACAACACTATCTCTACATTTAGCATGTGATTTTTATTTCCACTGCTTTCATTTCAGGAAACAGTTGATGGGAAAATGTTGCACTGATATTAATAAAATATATTTCTGTTTCAGAAAAGCTATAATATCACTTATCTTTCTCTCTCCCTCATCCCCCTTTGCCTCCTCTTCTCTCATTCGGTTTTCCTCTCTGTGTATCACTGTCCTCCTTTAAATCTCGACCCTCCTTCTTTTTCTGTCTAATTCTGCAGAGTTCAGTGGCTGCTGAAAACGTCAAATAATTTGGATAACAGAAGACCAGTAGGGATGGAACGGAACAGAACCATGGCTGGGGAAGTGTTCTGCATTGCTGTTGCTCAGAATCAACACTGACCTGGCACCCACACCAAGGGCTGACCCTTCTTTCCCCTGATCACCTGTGTTCTCCTCCATCTCACCTTCGCGCAGTGCTGGTTTTGATCAAATCTCCAAAAGAGCCTCTTGCTGTCTTTAAGGATTTGGCTGCTTCCCTTGTTTTATTCCCTGTCTTATGCTTTACCTTTAAGCTTGTTGATTATAATCCACAAAAAAGACAGATATAGTCCACAACAGACCAGGAGTGGCTGGATGAACAGCATGAATCCAGTCGTGTACCCCCTTCCACTTGCTCCAAGTAAACAAAGGCAGTGGGGTTTGTCATCCAGGACACACTCCCTTACTTTTATGACAAACTGGTGCCTGATGGGTGCCCTGGGCCTCATCCTGCTCTTCAGCCTGGCCTCAAGCCAGAAGACAGACCCCTCCAAACACCCCGTAGTCTCCACAAACTACGGCAAGCTCAGAGGCATCAAGAAGGATTTGAACAATGAGATCCTGGGTCCTGTGGAGCAGTACCTTGGTGTCCCCTACGCCACAGCGCCCATTGGCGACCGCCGCTTTCAGCCGCCCGAAGCCCCAGGATCCTGGCAGGAAATACGCAACGCCACCCAGTTTGCTCCCGTGTGTCCTCAGAATGTCCACGGGGTGCTGCCAGAGATAATGCTGCCTGTGTGGTTCACAGACAACCTGGATGTGGCAGCAGGGTACATCCAGAACCAGAGCGAGGACTGCCTCTACCTCAATATCTATGTGCCCACGGAGGATGGTAAGTGGACAGTGTTAAATGAAGTGCTGGTGTAGTGTGGGAGATGAGGGATTTAGTGGGTAAGCACAAGAACCGTGAGGAGATAATTGACTGTTCTCTAAACCCGCACCCCTTAATTACTGTTGCCATGCCTGTAAAGTTCCCCGTTCTTCTGCAGCGTATCCTGTATATATTTAACAGGGGCAGACTTACCACTGGAAATTCTTAGTAATCCTTGTAAAAAAAATTGGTCTTTGAGTTCAAACGAAGGTAGAAACATCAGAGAATTTGTGATACTAAAATAAAATGGCATTCTTGTATTGCAGTGTTGAGCTTATTAGCTCTAGTGTTAAAAGTATAAAGACAAAGACCAGGCTGTTACTTCAGTCTAGCACAACCCTCTTTAGCTGCTTATCTCTCTAACTACAGCCCCATGCACACCGCTTCAACATGTGGAGAAATCCAAAGCTTGACAGGCCTGCCATGTCTAGTTATGCTTGTTAAACTATGATTGGACAATTGCTGTTCAGGGGAAGGGTTTATTGAACAATCAATTAGGAACACATTTTAGGGGAGAGGAGTCGAGGGAAGTTCACTTAATGTGGAAAAATGTCTGGGAAACTCTAGTAAGTATGTGAATTCTTTTCTAAGTCCATCCGTTACTCTCAGCACCATAAATATGTTTCTTGTAGATAATGACGGTGAGTTTTAGGATGGGCCATGTGCGGGGGATTATGTGACAAAGAAACAATTTGCAAAATAATCTATGGAGGGTTAAAGAATTTTTCAATTACCCTTCCCTGGTTTTACATTCCATCCCATTCAAGGTGTTATAAAGCAAGAGAACAATGACCAGAACTGAAGGTGCTTTATGAGAAAAGGATTAGGTGACATTTGACTTTTCCTACTTCTTTTTTTTTTTTTTGCTGTCAAGAACCCTTTTCTATCACTCAGATGATACCTCAGACACTTTTGTCTGCCTGCACTACTATTAGATAGAGTATGTGAGAAATGAGAGAATTATTTCCATTTTGTCGACAGGTGTGACATGAAGACTATAGACTTCCCTCACTCCTCTCTTTAACTCCCCCCCTCCCCTTCCTTAGGATATTGCAAGACATGTTCACATTTGTCTTTTTTATTCCTATCTTGCTAATATAAGCTGCACAAAGTCAGTGTATTTTTTTTACAGAGAAAAGGCTGTTAGAAGAATCATGTTGGCAGGTTTCACATGCAGAAAATGTGTCTTATTATAAACTGACCTCAGACAACCGGTGACCTTCAGAAAGCAGTTTTGAATTGGAGTCTCATTATCATACTGTGGACAAACGGTTATTCTGCAAATGCGAGTATGAACAAAAACTGAGCTAGAAAAGAAGACCCCATCATCTGCTTTGACAATATCGATATCAGTGCATGTGCCTGTGTGTGTCTGTGTATTGATCTTTGTTTCATATTTTCACATTGTGTATCACAGGAGAGTGATGAGACACTAATTTCCACTCTCAACATTTGCCTCTAACACATTTCAGTCTCCCTTTCAGCGCCACCATCACTTGATTGGGCTTTTTTTAGATTCTCACAGCTCAGTGTTCGTCCTTCTCCGACACCGCAGCCTCAGCCCTCAACACCCCATCAGTACTACTTATAGCTCCTCGGGCATACACAGAACACAACACTATACATCAGGTCTTGAGTCACTGGACTTTGTCACACTGCTTTTTTCTTTTCCCTGTTTTCAGAGATGGATGGTGCTATGCAAGTGCCATAACACAGAGGTATACCCGCACGCGCAGCTGCTTGTTTACACACTGTCCTATTGGTGTAAAGTGCACTCTCTGGAAATGTCATACATGTAAGATACTGTACCTTTGATAGTGACCTTCATTCATCAACACAAAGCATCAACATTCCACTTTACATTGTCATCTTAATACACAGTCGCTGTCTCGGTGTGTGTGTAAATCAAAAGATACTGTCTTCATTGCAAAACACCTGTAATTACATCCCCATTTATTGCACTGTAAATAACCAAAGCAGGCAACATCTCAACTTGTTTCCCTCCTCATCATTCATCATCATTGCTGGTATATTTATGGTGGTCAAGTCAGAGATGATATTGCTGGCCTCAGCACTCTCTAGCAACCCCAGGGTCTGCCTGTCTTTGCTCCTCTTTCCCCCTGCTTCTCTTCCTGCATTGATTTTGAAGTCATTTTTTACAGCAGCCCAGGCAAAGAGGTGATGAATGGGGACGAGAGCAAATAAGAAGAGAGCAGGAGGCGAGGAAAGGAGAGAAAACAAAAGGAGAGGAGAGGAAATGAGGAAAGAAGAGCATAACAAGCTGAGAACAGGCAACAAGGAGAACAGTGGAGAGGATGGGAAACAAGGTGAAAAGAAGAAATGAGATTAGAGGAAAGAAAATGAAAAGAGAGGGGTCATGAGGAAAGTACAGGAGAAGGAACAAGTAGAGAAGAGAGGGTAAGTGAGGAGAGTGTGACCAGAGGAGAGAAAATATAGAGGGGTTAGGAGAGGAGAAAGCTTTTGGGCAGGAGACCAAATACCAGCCATCACACAACCTTTGTGACCATCAGCTTTACTCACACCACAAAGTTAAACATCCTCACTCATATAACCACACACATCCACATCTTCAGTTTTCCCTTGCCATGCTGTTGACTCCACTTCTATTCTTAGTTCTAAAACACTGCATCTCTCCATCTCCTGAGGCCTTTTACTTGTATCCTTTTTTAGGGTTCCCTTAAAACAGGATCCTTAAAAATCTTAAATCTGGCTTAATCCTGCAGAATAAAATCTTAATGCTGTCATCAGTGTAAATGAATGAAAGTACAACACTGACATGAATGTTTGTTCATAGATAAACACATTAAAATTTGGTGCTTACTCATTGCTTCTTAATTCATATTTAAGATTGTAGTAAGTAACAGTTATATGCGTCTTTTTTGTATTTTTCTGTGGCAGTCATTAACAAATGCGTTCTGAATTTGTAATAATCTGAAAACAAACCAAGAAATGGAACAAAACAAAAAATTTACAGTAATACAAAATTATTCTTCTCGTTATCAGTTAGTTAACTGAAGATGCAAATGAAGATTTTAGTTTTTTTGTTTTATTTTTTTATGCTGTCTGTATTGTTAACTTTGACCAGTATTACTCCCCAACAATGTTAAAGACGTCATGTATTCTTTGTGAAGGCTAACCATATCAAAGGCTGTAACTACCGTTGACTAAGTTATAACTGGTTCAGACTAGATGATTTGTTTGTCTGATACGATGGTCACTATGTCAGATTACATGATTGTAGAGTCGTACATCCTTGGACGAGGGTTATAACACACAACACATTGGTACCTAGCAGATCACAGCCTGCTGTCAGTCACAACTTTGAGATGAGAACAGGGTGTGGCACTGGCTGCTTGTGTTTGGAAAACCATAGGGGGGTGGGGGGTCGTGTCAAATGAGGAGGGCAGCGGCCTATGTGTTGTCTCTTCTTCACAGACAACTTGAAGTAGCAGTTAAAAAAATCTGTGTTTTACTGGTAGTAAAACTAAAAACTAATAGTTCGCTACTTCACAAAATTGACTGTGAAAGTCATTATGCTAATGTTAGCTGTGATATTTAATGAATATGCTTCAATCCAATATGTCAAAAATGTTATGAACAGAAAAGTAATCTGTGCTCTGTTGGTCGGCGTTGCCCTAACACATCATAAATTTTGCAAAAAATCTCTGATTTGCTAGACTTTGTGTTGGGACGTTGCGAGACCTTCGTTCAAACACTGATTGTTGACTGAGGTGCCAGAGGTCACTCCTCTTGCCAGCTTATGATTCATTTTGAGATCAAGTCACCCCTTTATTTTTCATTGCGTATAATTCACTGTTGTTTTGACATTCATGCTGATATGTTGCCTTCTTACATTCACTCAGCTTAGGCGCTCTGGGGAATCACTTAAGCTCTGCGCCAATGCATTTCTGTGGTAGGGAAAATCCTGTTCTCAGTGTATCAGCATTTCAGCTTTTAACATTGTTCTCAGCATACTTAGTGGATCATCATTAAAATCTGCTAAAATAAAATAAATATGCTGCTAACAACACTGCATATCATGAACTAGCTAACAACTTATAAAACAGTTCTTACTGTTAAGAGGCAGTCATAATGAAGGGTGGACCTGGCTTTTCCTTCTTTGTATCTCTATTGGAATAAATAGATGGTCACTGGATTGTATTACTTTTCCTGCGGTTAGTCAACGATATCAGGCTTTAGGACACAGGGGAACTGGTTTTACCTTCTGGCAGGTTGCTCCCTCACCAAATGCATAGTGGGAGTGGTTCCACCGGTTACCCTGGAGATGACATCCCATAAATCATAGCAAGAGGTTTTCATCTAGCTCCTGCAGAGTCACGCTGGATCGATGGACAACGGAAAGGGAGGAAAGGACCGGCTGCTAGTGCTGCCCAAGGTCCGCAGACAAACCTCATGTTTCTCTCAGCAGTCAGCAGCTGTTAACACAGAACAAGGCTTCATGTGAATAAGTCAGAGTAGCTGGACCCAGCAAATAGGAACTTACTGTAAATGCTTACTCACACATAGTGTAGGATCTGATACAGTTGTGCTTTCTGCAGTTAGGCCATAGATAAAATGGAGAACCAGCTGCTTTTATGTTAGCAAGAGCTGTTTTGGATTTGTGAAGGATTGTCTTGGCTGTGTACTATATTATGAACACCAACTGTGTAGTATTTTCACTGGCTATATAGCATCCACCTGTCCTTTAACTAACATTAGTGACTTTATTCCACTTGCACATGCAAATTTCTGTTTTAACTGCCTGGGCCAGGCTTTTTACTAATTTTACACAAGTTGTCCATCCACATAATAAGAAATATTCACCCTATTCTTCCATTATTCCTGAAAATATTAGGTTTTCCATAATTTACCAAGACTGGAAGGCAAACTTTAGATGAATAATTTCTTGAAGAGAAGTTTTGTATAATATGACTCATCCA